ATATATATATACGTATAAATATATATACGTATAAATATGTATGTGTGCATGTATGTATGAATATACGCATGTATGCGTCTTTATATGTATGTGCTAATATATGAAAGCGTGTTTCTCTGGATTTCGGAGTCTACAGTTTGATATCTGTTTTCCTAACCGTACATAAGACCACATATTTAAAATTATCCTTCAAATTTTATTCTAACCAGTGGAAAATTCCAACTTTCTCAGCTCTTTTTGAAAACTCCGTAATTAAGCCAGTAAAAAAAAAAAACTTTGAATTTCTTGGATTAATTCACTTCATACGAGCGTCATTGTCTGACCTCGCAGGGAATTTTGTTTCATCCGCGTTCTCCACATCTTTTGCACGTAATCGCAGAAATGCGTGGCTCAGTAACTCATTCAGCGTTTTGCGTATGTTACCGAAGCCTATTAGAAGGTTTACACGTTTGAAAGAAGTAATGCCAGGATTTGAGCTTGCAGGCTGTTTGTCAGGTGGAACATCCGAAGGCAAAGTAGCAAACTGGAAACGCCGCCGCGCCACCGACGAGACGCTTTCCGAGCAATGGAACCTACAGGAAGCTATCAGTATCGGTTCAAAAGTTCGTCACTCTCATAATTGCTTCTTTTTTCAGTCACACTTTGAAGAGAATAATTTTTGAAGGTTGAATTGGTGCGCTGGGCGACGGTGTCCGGTGTATTAGCTGTTTCTGCCTGTTCTTTGGTAACACTGTTGAAAGAGCAACCAATCCTCGCAGATGCGAATGCAGATGTTGGTGATTATATCCATATAATCATTTTTTCCTAAAAGAGAAAAAGAACATATGCATCTCTGTTTTTCGTGAAATAACTATGCTCGTCGTGCTGTGAATTTGTTCCCAAGTAACACACAGGAGAGAATAAGAGCCTTATCAGTGGATTGCTGCTATTAGCAAATACCACTACTGGGTAATCCCGAGCAACTCCGTCTCTTACAGAAAGTGATTACAACAGGGGCAACGCTTTTTGCATATATGTAAATTGCAAAACGCATATTGGGAAGAGGCTGTCTGTGTGTGTGTGTGTGTG